ATTGATGGATTTCGCATTTCTACGAAGTTGGTCTGTTAGCAGTTTCATAAGAGACGCGCATTTCGGTATCAACCGTCTGTAGAAACTTACAAAGCCGTTAAACGTGCGTAATTGCTTAACGGTGGTCGGTTCTGGGTAGTCTCGGATGGCCACCACTTTACTTCTTAGAGGTCGGATGCGTTGCGCATCGATGGTGTGTCCTAGGAAGTCTAAGGAGTCAGTTCCGATTTGACATTTCTGAATGTTTACAGTAGTGCCATGTTTTTGTAGTCGATCGAAAACAAGATCCAGATGCTTGAGATGCGATTCTCTTTCCGGACTTGCTGTCAAGCAGTCATCAACATACGCATGTACGAAGTTGAGACCTCGAAAAACGTCATCTATGAACCTTTGGAAAGTTTGGGCAGCGTTTCATAGACCGAAAAGTATCCGCAAAAATTCATAGTCTGAAAGGAGTTATGATGGCGGTATTTGGAATGTCGTCGGTAACCATAGGGATTTGGTTATATGCTTTAACCAAGTCGATTTTCGAAAAGACAGTTGTACCTTTCAAGGTAGCTGTCAAGTCATGAATGTGAGGCAACGGGTAACGATCGGGAATGATTTTCGCATTCAACCGCCGATAGTCACCAGTTGGACGCCAATCGTTGCTGCCCGTTTTAGAGATCAAGTGCGAGAAAGATGCCCATGGGCTGTTTGACGGCCGAATGATTCCCCACTCTAACATGTGGTCGGATTGGCTTTTGGCCAACCTTAGCTTTGCGGGAGCCAGTCGACGCGTTTCGAGAATACAGGTGGTCCTGTGGTCGTGATGCCATGTATAACATTGCTGGTTACACACGGCAGTTTTGATTGCGGTTGGTATATCTCAGGATGCTTATTGAATATTCATTGATAGAATGGATCTATCGTGTGCTTAACAGTGACTGGAGATAATCTACAAACGGAAAAAGAAGTTACGCAAACAGATAAATTAGTGTTTCTGTCTACTAGCCTCCGTTTGCACGTATCGATGAGTAGATTGTGGTGTTGTAGCAGGTATATACCAATGATTGGTTTAGAAACATCTGCAACAACAAAAATCCCGTGAATGGTTTTGCGTAAACCTATGTTAAGATAAACGTACCTTTTACTATATGTGGCGATTGGCTTTCAGTTTGCTGCCTGTAAGTTTAAAACCGACTCGTGGAGCCGGTCGTTAGAATTTGCTGGAAGGACGATAACGTCTGCGTCAGTATCGACGAGGGCTGCAACTAAACGCAACTCAATTTCGTAAATGTGCCCTTCAGCTTAGCAACCAAGTAGCGAGTATTCGTTATCACACCTGTGACACATAACAGACGGCTGTGTTTGCCGGCGACGGTTGCCGTTATTGCGTGCCAGCTAAGAAGTTTCCCGAATTGTTTTTCGTGTCGGTGGATTTTGAGTTCGGAAAATATTAGGATTTTCTGCAATTTTTGGAAGACTTTCCATACTGGTCATGATACCAGCACCAGTCGGAGTTATTCATCTCTCGTGGTCTAGAGACATATCGCTTACATGAAGTGCTCCTGCGCGGGATTTGTGACCGTTTACTGTCATTACTTAATCTAAGATAGCGTGTGTGTGTGTGTGTGACATAATTCTGTAATGTCATTCTTAGTCGTTCGAGGCTTTCCTTTGACTGAAAAACCTCGACGAGATTTGGTGATTTTCTAAGATGCGGTCGGCAGATGCAGCCAGCTCGTCTACGGCGGTTTTTTGAAACGAGACAAGCACAGCTTGCATCAGTTGAGGAAGTTTTGATAGGAAAATTTGTCTGAATAGGCCATCATCAAAGGTTCTTTTGGCCAATCACCTCTCTCATTCTTAGCAACATATGTGTCGCAGAACCGTGTCGCAGGTCGATATTATTAAGGAGTTGATCTAACCATTGTCGATCGGTTAGATCTCCGCGTTTAAGGATATAACGTTCCAGTGTTTCGTAAGGTTCAGAAACATCACGAGTAAACATACTAGGTGTTACGTACCTGTTGAATTCTCACGGTACTGCCTTGACTACTGAGGGGAATCGTGCACGTGTGTCGTTCACGCCGTGCTCGTAAACGTCGGCTTGTGCGTAGCAGAATCAGGTTTCCATGTTGTCTGGCCAGAATAGCATTAGTTGAAAGGAAGGTGGGGACACAGTCTTTAACTTGTGTATCTGGGTGTGTGTTCCGTCTTGGCGAAATATCAAGTACGAGAATGAACGAGAAATATATAATATTTATCCAAAACTCGAAAAATATAGCAATATTGTTAGGTTCGTTAACCTTAAGGATACTACTGATTCGACTTATTCGGAAACGGAACGAAAGCTCAGGATTCAGAGACTCAATAGACTATTCTGGTCCGTTGTCTTCGACTCAGCTAACTCGATCAAAAAGTCTTGGTAAGGCGTAGAAAGTGTATTCTACAAGCAACAGCAGATACCAAGTCAGGCAGGCAGATCAGATCAAGCATATAAGTCAAGCGTATTTATACAAATATATATCGATTTTGTCATAAGAAATTTTTTAAACAATAATCAATGAGTCATCAATTGTCTGCTATTTAAAAATTTAATTGATAAGTTCATCAACTGACTGCCATTCAAATATTTAAACATTTAATCAATAATTTAATCGATATGATAAAATTACAAAATATGAATTTTGAGGATATACCGTCCCAACACTCCTCCCCTTTTCAATAGCGTACTTTTCTGGGGTCGACTTACATTTTGACTGTAGTTCGCCGCTGACGGAGAGGCCACCTCCTGGGACGGGGCTCAGGTTGTTGTTGAGCTTCTCCTCGTGGTGGGGCTGGTGGTAAGTTGAAGATATGAAGCAAGATTTCAAGGGGAAGATTTTCTCCTTTTTATGGGCGGTCCGAGGCTATCCGCTTCCGTAGTTGATTTCGGTGTCTAGTCCACGTGTCTCTTCCCACCTTTACCTTGTACATAACTTCGCCTAGTCTTCCAATCACACGTGCTTCGATCCAAGGACCCTGATTTGCTCTGTAGTCTCGAGCGAACACCGGGCATCCAACCTCGTACGCTGGAAGCTTCTGAGATTTGGTCTGAGGTGGTGGTGGTGTGGTTCTTGGGCACATGAGACTATGGATCGTCCTTAATTTCCTTCCCATCAGGATCTCTGCCGGGGACTTCTGCTGTGGTAGCTTATCACTAGGTGTTGTTCGGTAAACAAACAAGAAATTCCGCAGTGTTTCTACTGGCGTCCCCTCCCCTTTCGACTTCATTAGAGCTCTCTTGAATGTATCCACAAATCTTTCTGCCTGGCCATTTGACTGTGGGTGGTAAGATGGAGAGCGGAAATGCCTGATCGATAGGCGTTTGCAAAATTCTTGAAATTGACTTGAGGTGAATTGCGAACCATTATCGGAAACGATTATATCCGGTAATCCGTTGCGAGAGAACATCTCTGTCAACAGTTGCATCGTTTGGTTTGTCGTTGGTGGCATGACGGGAACGATTTCTGGCCATTTCGAAAAGGCGTCAACAACGACTAGATAGGTGATTCCATTAATTGGGCCTGCGAAATCGACATGTATCCTGAACCAGGGATACTCAGGCTGTGGCCATGGGACCGGCAGTAATTTCGCGTTACACTTGGCTGCTTGCTGACATTGTGTGCATTTGCTTACTAAATCCACGATATGTTGGTCCATGAGGGGCCAATAAGCATAGCTTCTGGCGATGGATTTCATTAGTTTTATACCAGGATGACCAGTATGGAATTGCTTTAGCACCTTTGATCTTAGGGATTCGGGCACCACTACTCTATTTCCAAACATCAAGCATTCGTTTACGACGCATAATGAGTCCCGACGGTGGTAAAGCTGCTTCAAGTCACCATCGAGTCCATTTGGCAGCCAGCCGTTGGTGACGTACTTCATCGCTCTCTTTATGATGGAGTCGTTCTTGGATGCAAATTGTATTTCAGCTGCTGAGACTGGCAAAGCACGAATAGCGGTTGTCAGATAACACTGTGCGTAATCCTCTGTCATCAGGGAGGCAATAACTGTATCTTCGCCGGCCGTATGGTGTTCGCTGATAAGTCGTGACAAGGCGTCAGCCTGACCAAACTGTTGAGTGCGCCGACACCGAATGTCAAAATCATAACCCAGAAGTATCAAAGCCCATCGTTGGAGACGGTTTGCAGAATGGGCTGGAACACCAGATTTCGAACCGAAAATTGTGAGAAGAGGCTTGTGATCAGTGAGAAGAGTAAATCTTCGACCGTACAAGAATTTGTGGAGACGGCGTACTGCAAACACAAGGGCCAGAGCCTCTTTTTCTATTTGACTGTACTTTCTTTCTGCTGAAGTTAATGTGCGAGATGCGTGCATAATAGCTTTCTCTGTTGCGTCCGGGAACTGATGTGAAATGACAGCACCGAGTCCAAAAGCTGAAGCGTCTGTAGCGACAATGATAGGCATGGACGGATCGTAGTGCGTCAATAATAGTTCAGAGCTAATGATGGTTTTCAGCTTGAAAAATGCAGCTTCACATTCTTTTGTCCAGTTCCAGCTGGTATTCTTATTCAGAAGATGATTTAGCGGGGCGCGTATGTCATGCATCGACGGAACAAAAGCTGAATAGTAGCTAATTAGTCCCAGGAATGATCGTAGCTCAGAGATATTAGTGGGAGTCGGCATCTGTTTTATAGCTCGGATGTTTTCAGGATCTGGTCTGCGACCTGCGGCATCAAAGATGAATCCCAAGTATTTAACTGACTTCAAGAAAAACTGGCATTTTTCTGGGCGTGATCGGAACCCGTTATCGCTGATGCGTTGTAGTACAGCTGTCGTGCGTTCTCTAAGCTGTTCTAACGATGTGGCAACAATTAAGATATCATCAAGATAAGTTGCGACCCCCGGGATACCCGATAGAATGGTATCCATTAGTTGCTGAAAAATAGATGGAGCCGTTTTAACACCAAATGGTAGGCGATTGTACTGAAACAAGCCACGATGAGTATTTATGGTAAGTAACTCTTTCGAATCTTCAGCCACTTCCACTTGTAGATAGGCATCAGCGAGATCCAACTTTGCACTGGTCTCTTTGGACGACAGACAGGTTTAGCTCCAGGTTTCAACCGAAGTGTTGCTTTCATAGCAGTGCACTGACCCAATACAGGTTGGAAAATGGTTGAAAACTGCGTCATTAGTTCTTTCGAATATGCTTCAGGTTCATGAGGTTGTTTCACCAGATGGCATATGGTGCTTAAAGGAACGTCAGCTAAATGTAGCCGGTCAAACCAGTCTAACCCAAGTAGATTAAGATCAGCTGGTGTGACGTGACATACACCGGTAAACGTCGAATCGTGAAATGACACTTTACAATCTAGTTGTCCCAACAAACGTAGGTAATTACCGCATGCAGTTCGAGGTTTTTGTGTTGTTGGAACCATGCGTGGTCTTCCCATTCTGATCCAATATTTTCGTGAGAGAATTGTTACATCGGATGCAGTGTCTATTTGCAATCTAAATGGGTGCCCATTAATATTAAGGGTAATAAATTTCCTCTCAACTGGGGATGAGTTCTCATAGCTTGCTATTAGACTCAACGAATTCGTGTTGGATCTAGGCGTAGGCTTTTTGGTACCTTTGGAGTTGCTTGGCTTCTTTTTTCGACAAAAACCATCTTTATGACCCACCGCATTACATTTCCTGCACCGATGTTGCTTATATGGACAGTATCGAACAAAATGCCATGCACCGCAGTGCCAGCATGGAGCAGGAGGATTTGTTTTTGTCTGTCGACCTGAACTAGATGTCGCTGGGGCAGATTTATGCGAGTTGCGTGGTTGTTGGACTACATGAACTTCGGTACGATCTGAACCACCACGCTGGACCATCGTAGTGTCACGCTGTAGATTGATTAGGCGTTGATATTCGTTTGCAATATCATTAGGGGTTAGTTTTGGGTCTTGGTCCAATCGACTTAGCAAACGTGTTCTAATGTCACTGAACTTCTGCGATTGAAGGCTGCAGATGAGAATGAGTGTTTTAAATTGGTCTTCAGTAAGCGACTTCAACCGGAAGCGTTCACATTCTCGGTTGACGATACCCACATGTGTGAGAAAATCATCATCTTCGTTCAAGGTGAGCTTCAAACATCGATAACGCGCATTGAATAGTGAGGAGTTGTCTCCGAATTGTTGGCTCAATGACTGGACAGGGTCCGAGAATGAGCGATCGCGTGGGTTTAGAGGCAGAATTAGGTTGCAATACTTGTCTACTTCACTAGGACCCAACTTTCGAAGCAGCAAGCGGACCTTCCAAGCATCATCCTGATTAGCAAAGTCGAATTTGAATAAGTCTTCATAACGTCGAAACCACATATCAAACGTGACATTGGATTCTGGATCGTAATGAAACTCGGAGATACTGTTAGCGATACCATCAACTGATGGTGCAGTAGTAGTAGGATTAGAACTGCTTGGTTGAGTATTAGACGTAAGCTTTGCATCTGCTAACATCTGAATAAGTTTCATCTGCTGCTCGAGTAATAATTCAAGTTTAGAAAGATCCATGTTTCCAAAACCACCGTCGCCAAATTGTTAGGTTCGTTAACCTTAAGGATACTACTGATTCGACTTATTCGGAAACGGAACGAAAGCTCAGGATTCAGAGACTCAATAGACTATTCTGGTCCGTTGTCTTCGACTCAGCTAACTCGATCAAAAAGTCTTGGTAAGGCGTAGAAAGTGTATTCTACAAGCAACAGCAGATACCAAGTCAGGCAGGCAGATCAGATCAAGCATATAAGTCAAGCGTATTTATACAAATATATATCGATTTTGTCATAAGAAATTTTTTAAACAATAATCAATGAGTCATCAATTGTCTGCTATTTAAAAATTTAATTGATAAGTTCATCAACTGACTGCCATTCAAATATTTAAACATTTAATCAATAATTTAATCGATATGATAAAATTACAAAATATGAATTTTGAGGATATACCGTCCCAACAAATATATAAAAATCAGAATAAAGCAATGAGTTATGAAATTCCGAAAGGGAATAGACACACAGTTTGCAACTTGGTGTATTAGATCACGTCGGGCTCACCAATGAAGATGCCACAGTTATTCGGAGTTTGACAACGCTTTAACCAGTAACACCTTCTATTATGAATCAAATCCATCAAGTGAAATCAAAAGACAGAAGCGAGGAGGTTCGAAGATATATTTGATAAGCTATCAATCTATCGACGATGGACTGATCTAGACTGGCTAGCGATTGCAGAGGATGCTGAGCACGGCGTTACCAAAAGTGATCTGGCGCTGATGCTCGTTTATTCACGTCCTATTTCATTATCCACTACCAGTCTGCTTGTCACAAAACTGTAATGTGAAGTATAGCGTGTTTGCATGTTTACCTTCTTCGATCTGCTTCTCCTCCTCGATTATTTCACTGCGTGTCAGTAGCGGCGAGTGTATCTGCTATACGTATTCACAGTTCATCCTCGCATTTTACTCATGTTACCAGTTGTTCTCTAACGCAAATCAAGACAATAATTATATACTAGGGTTTCCGGAATGTATATTTTATTGATATCAACACACATTCGAGTCAGAGTCATATCATCAGATCATTGAACACTGTAAATATCCATACATATCACCATGTCAGTCCTATGTTGTTAGTTAGTGATTTGAGTATCATGCACTTAGTTTGATCAAACATCGAGTAAACAACATTTGCTGAGAATGATGCATAAGTGCGGTGTGAATAATTTTACACTCACAATAACCTACTAAGAAAACGAGCATAAGCCAGCTTCTTGAGTTGTAATACTCCTGTAAACCACAAACTAGTTAAATGAATTACAAGCATGTAACCGCTCAGTTTCAAATCATGATTGCCCACTGTTTATCCACACATTGATTAACCACAGATAACATACAGTCGTCACTGAATAAAATTTCATAGGTAATGGAGAATTTCCTTTTTTTCCAATTTGGTTGCACAACATTCCAAACCTTTCAATTCATAGAACGACCGCACGGATATTGTGTCACTGATATCACCATGACCATTTCAGTGAATATGGCAGGAGAACTTTTTGCTGATAAGTGGTAATAATACTAAAAGTCGATACTCTATTTCTACACTATTTACTTTACGATCGGTGTCTCAATTTTACCATTTTCTTCCTTGACCATACAACATGTCAAAGCTATTCATATAAATTACTGTGAAGTTTGGTATTTGGACAGTTATCACAAAAGTACAGTGACTTCAATTTATTCAGTATTGATATTAGGTAGGTGAAGATTATTAAATACTTTTTGAATATTATCAATATCACTGTGTTTTTGGATGCATTTGTTTCACAGAACTTTTGAACCTGTTTGTCTTTATCCTTGGTTTGTTCGTTTGAAAAATTTTACTCTGGAATCATAAAAATTCAGGATCGATGTTTTCGGGTCGATTACCTGTAATTTTCGAAAACACATTGATGCCTAAATTGGAATGTGGTTGTGTTAATATTTGGAATAGTAAATCACGAGTTGTTCAACTGATTCTACTTCAATGAATGACGACAGAAAAACGTGAACGCATCAATTCAACACAAAGAAACGATTTCGGTTACATTGTAGACAGGCCAATTTTGAATTCATAACAATCATAAAGCTTATCCATCCAATGGAAACTGAATCTTTTCATGGATTTCGACTGAGTAGACAATGGAAACACAAACGATCTGCATAAAAACAAATAATTATCTGTTTAAGAACGTATGGTACAGCACACATCTCGGACAAATTTCTTTAAAAACTAGACCAATCACCACATCTTTATTAACAGTCGTAAAACAGTCAGAATAAACCGATGAGCGAACAGAAGGCAACTACAGTCGATTTAATATCAGTCTAGTGGAACAAAATGTGACTTAACCCTGTACATTTTTTATAATATAACATCATCACCACCACCTGATTAAGTTGAACATTTCCCAGGCGAACAACATTCTCGAGGAATATTATCTGAATGCAGTGATTGCAATATACACATTAAATAAACATCATACATCCACATTATTGAGAAGAACAATATTTAGACAACCTTTATGTTCTCACAAGGTCAAAAGAACTTTTATAATTTTTATACCAAGCTTTAACAGTAATTCAAGAACGTCAGTTTCATCTCCTGGTTCACTGGAAGTCATTTGATCAGCTTTGGACAGCTTTTTCGAATCGTCCTTTATCCCTGAAAAAATACAACAATTGTAGCAAGAAAATAGTATGATGGGAGACATTTCCACTACAGTATATTTCAAATTTTACGACATGCTATGAGTACACGAAAAAAGATATTCAATAACACAAATGTCAAATGCAAATTACAATATCACCTTTAGAAGCATCACCCATCAATTTTCCTCCCTCTGTATTATCCAGCGTGGGAAGACCATTGACATTCGGGAAGTTGACGAGAATCAACACAGTGAATGTCGCAATCAAGGTGAGGTGCATCTGAATCAATTAGTTGGTCAGTCATTCACATGTACACAATTACACCTACCGTGTTTAGTTTGGACCAGATGAACGTTATTTCGAGTAGAGTTGGTTGATTTTGAGACTGAGTGTGTTTGCCTATTTATACAATTCATGAGTGCGCATGGAACACTTGAATTTGAATGTGTAGTTTGTGAGAAGTGATGCGGACAGTTGGAGTGAAGTGGTGTGTTGCTATGTGATTGTGTGTGGGTTGAGTTGAATTCAGTTGACCTGAGTTGAGTTGACTGTACTAGATTAAATTGGTGTGGTGTAGTGTGAATGATATGATAATGGTGTTGACCCGACTGATTGTGAATTAGTGTGAAGAGTTGATGAGTTGAGTGAATGGTGGATTTGTGTTAGTGTTCTTATATGTATTGATTGTGTTGTTTGATAGTGTGAATTGTTTTGAGTGTCGATGATGAGTGGTGTGAATCATAAGTGCAGTGTGACGGAGTGATACTTGAATTGATTGTTTGTTGAACGAAATCTGCTTATGTTTGTAGAACAACTAACTGCTTTTTATGTGTGTTACAGCGGCACAAACGAAATTTAATTGTGCTTGCCATTCTTTCTGACAGTATGATATCATTTGATATATTAGAGTTTATTCAATGATTGACATAATGAATTACTGCCGAATTGTGCATAATCGATTGCTTCAAGAAGCCGCGTGACGAAATGTGCAGTGGGCTGAACATCTAACACTAAGCGCAGAGTATTGATCATGGCTCATTATTATTGATACCTCGTATTTTATAGCGATATAGGCCACAGAACAAAGACATCAAAATAACATGTTGTAGGCGAGTATTAGGTTTAAAGAAATTCAAGGCTCGATAAACAACTGAAAGCCAACGAAGCACATTTTATCTGGTTTAGCAAACTCCGTTCTCGAATTTGTGGAAGAATTCATTCAAATGTTGGAAGTGGAGTGACATTCACCTGATATCCCAACTTGGTGAATGCGTTCAGTTTGTCGGAGCCAATAATTTGAACATATCTGAGCACATGCCGAAGCGTGTGCTTGAAATAATAGTGTATGTCATCTACATCATCAAAAGTGTGTTAAGGTTTCTATTGATCCTCTGTTGGTCATACAATACTCTTGATATTTACTCAATGCAATTTTTTCGCCACGCTGATACATATTCAATATTATTTTTATAAGTATGTAAACTTTACGATGGGTTGTAGGTAGCAGCAACGAAACAAGATGTATTCATGTTGTTCTGACCAATTTCTTGTTGGCGTCTCTCTAATATACGACTTAACACTATTCACTCACTTTCATTTGCCTTGTTTCATTTTGACTGAATTCTGTCTATCAAGTTTTAAGAAGACGTGTCTGTCACCACTAATGCATTTCCAACTTGACTGCCAGTTCAAACAAACTCAGTATGGAATTCAATTGAAATCACATACTTACACTTATACAACAATGCGAACTAGGAATCCCCGGAATAGCGCAACTTAATTCAAGTAGCGTTAGGTGAACACTAACAAACACATGGTATTTGAAAACTCAAAATCCAGAGGAAAGCAGGTACAAAAGGATCACTACATCATACAAATACCACAAACACCACAGCTTAGATTGAAATCTGAGATTCTGAAACCGGTTAAATGTCTCCCCCTTAGGTTCATTGCATGTCTGTCAGACCGTTTATTGAATGCAGACTTTTTGTCAGATCGTAATCATGACTTGAATGAATATAATCGTTCTGGAAAGCTTGGTTACGTTCTTGATTTTGACTGTCAGTGTCACTGTGGAATATGTGTTTAAGGGAATGTGCACGTGAGTATGGCTAAGAAAATTCACATTTAGTATCATCATTGATTCGAATTGCTACTTGCATAAATAAATAGTAGGCAAAAGTAAATCCAGTGTGAATTGTCGAGCATGTGGTATAACATGGTTGAAGCTATATGACAGAACGTTGTAAATATGGTATTTTCTGTAGTTTACAGTCATCATGGAACTAAAGATACCACAAGTATCTGGCGTTTGACAACACCTTGA